TATTAATTTTTAGTAAGATGTTTTCAAAATTTATTCTTTTATATATACAAATATTCATCTCCTAAAATTTTGAACGTGTGGCTACAACTATTTGGAGAGTGTATATATCATATTTGACCATTGATTATAGACTAATATATTGTATTTTCGAGAATATTTAATCTTCATTACACTTTATTATAGGTATCATATTTGACATTTGATCGTAGGTAATATCGTGTATCAATTTATTGCTCTTTTCATTTCTTCAATGATTTATTTGATTCTGTAAATGATTATAAATATAAAGTTGTTATCCACCATTTAATTACGGTGATTTTAACAAATATTCTCACGTGTTGTTATATCTTTTTCTTCTTCTACTTTCAATCTTGGTATCAAGCCATCTCAAATCCCTCACAAGGATGCTGGACAAGGTCTTTTTTATAAACGGTGAAGCTGATGTGGGATCTTTCATGACAACATACCCCGACGTTATATACTCTCCTGCTCATTATCAATACGTTCGTCTTGCATATCCAAGAGTTAATGCTTAGAACCCTTATCTGATCACGAGGTACGACGAGACTGTAATCAATCCTCAACCCTGGAGTTTGGGAGCTAATACTCGTGAAGTATGGAATGTCTTAACGAGTTGAGCATGGTGGTGGTGTTCAAGAGCATAGAAACCCTCTAGCTTTTGCTCATTTTGCCAATTGCCCAGCTAAGGATATGGTTCCAAATGTCATGCTTTGCCTTTATCTTATAAGGGTGTGAAATCTCTCCCTAGTAGACATGTTTTAAACCCTTGAGAGTAAGCCCGAAATGGAAAGCCCGGAGTACAATATCAGTTAGCGGAGAAGCCCGAAAGGAAAAGTCTAAAGAGGATAATATCGACTACCCGTGAACTTGGGCTGAGAGTTTGTATTCCAAATGTATCACTTGCAATGAAGAAGTGACCATGAAGAGGCTTGATAGCTTTTGGTTCAAGTCTGAGCGTTGGATCGCCCAATCAACGGATCAAATACTACCATCAGAGAGTAACACATGTTTGTATGGAGCTTGAGGATTAGAAATGGCTAATTAGCATAGACTTTTTCCATTTCAATGTATTGCTTATTTGAGGAACCCAAGATAGTCTAAATGATTTCTATTCTAATTTACACAACCAATTAACAAAACAAAGGATGAACATAACTCCTACTCACTTGAAGATTTGGATATGAAGCCTTCATCTTTATCCTAAATTTTAAACTAACTAGCTATCAAAAAAACCCGGACCTGCTCGAGAAAGGAGCTCCTTCCCAGCATCCTTCCCCATTGCTATCATATCATCGATGGCGTACGAACCTCGTCGAGAAGTTTCAAGAACTATAAAATATGAAGATATTCAATGTTCTAGCAATGTAGAAGTTATTTCATTCGAACATGAACGTTGAGATCGTACCTCGGGTTCCGTCTGGGGAAGCTACCAACCCTTTGAATATACAATTGCCATCTTCATCTCTCGACGCATATCCTGCAATCGGGGTTCGGCATGATCCATCAAGAGTCTCGAGGAAAGCTCTCTCACAAACAACAGCCAGTCTTGTTTCCTCATGGTTTAATGAGGCTAAGTAATTGGCCTGCAAATGAGAAACCAAACGGGAATGACTAAGTTCAGCTCAAATAAGATGTCATTTAGTGATTTGTATAGCCAATGAAAACACACCATTTTGTCATCGTCGCTTCGACAGGCGATACCGATAGCTCCCTGAGCAACAGCTGGAAGCATTTCATCGATTGAAAGGATCGAAGTAACGTTTTCTGTCATATTTAAACGTCGAAGTCCAGCTAGAGCTAATAGTGTTGCTTGGACTACTCCTTCGTTTAGTTTTTTCAACCTTGTTTGGACATTACCTCGAAAATTCTCGAGTACCTAACAAATGACACCCAAAGAATGGAAAAAACGAGAGCGAGTGTCAAAACCAACATACAAAATTGAAGATTTAAGACTCGTTAAACACTACCATGTTAGTAGATATTGTCTGTTTTGGCCCATTGCATATCGCTATCAACCTCACGGTTTTAAAACGTGTATGCTAGTGAGAGGTTTCCACACCCGTATAAAAAATGCTTTGTTCCTCTCTCCAACCGATGCCTTCTAGCACACTGTCCAGTGTTTGACTCTGATACCATTGGTAACAGTCCAAGCCCACAGCTAGCAGATACTGTCCTCTTTGGGCTTTCCCTTCAAGGGCTTCCTCTCAAGATTTTAAAACGTTTCTACTAGAAAGAGGTTTCCACACCCTTATAAGAAATGTTTCGTTCCCCTCTCCAACCGATGTGGGATCTCACACATAAACATTCCTTCAAGAATCAGAATTCAACATACACAACAGCAATGTAGTGCGAGGTAGTTAGCAATGTAAACGTAGAACATAAACTTTCTGGATATTTTTCCATTACATAACACACCATACTTACTTCGAGGGACGGATATCGATTCAGTAGCTGAGACTTTCTTCTCAGTGAAGCTGTACCGACGACGCTTCCAGCTGGAAGCTCGGCAAGTGAACCTGCACGTAGAGAAATGAATGCATCCCGGACGTCCTCCCTCGGAAGGTTACACGGGAGGATGGTTTTTTCAGGTAAGTAAGTTGGGACATCTTTCATTGAGTGAACAGCAATGTCTATGTCACCATTGATAAGTGCATCATCAATCTCTTTTGTAAATAAGCCTTTCCCACCAATGTCTGCAAGTGGCTGAGAGAGTATTTTGTCACCGGTGGTTTTGATTACAACAATCTGAATGGCACCATCTTCAGCTAGCTCAGGATGGGAAGCCATGAGCTTGTCTCTTGTCTCATGAGCCTGGGCAAGTGCTAATGGGCTGTCCTGACACAGAAGAAGATAAAAGTAAACCCAATCAAACAAGCATATAGAAAATGAAGTACATTGTGTTTATAGGCATAGTTCCAGGTTTAGATAAGAAAATTACAAAAATTACCGGCTCCCCTTAAACCCACTACTAGCCGATATTGTCCTCTTTATGGTTTTCCTTCTAAACTTCTCCTCAAGGTTTTTAAAACACGTTCGCTAGGAAGAGGTTTCCACACCCTTATAAAGAATGTTTCGTCCTCCCCAACCAATGTGGGATCTCACAATCCACCCTCTTTGGGTCCCAGCGTCCTCACTGCACTTGTTTCCTTCTCAAATCGACGTGGGACCCCTAATCCACACCCCTTCGGAGCCCAACGACCTTGCTAACACACCGCCTCGTGTCCGGCGACAATACTATTTATAATGGCCCAATCCCACCACTAACATATATTGTCCTCTTTGAACTTTCCCTTCCGGGCTTCCCCTCAAGATTTTAAAACGCATATGCTAGGGAGAGGTTTACACACCTTAATAAAGAATGTTTCATTCTCCTCCGGTTAGAATCTCACAATAATCTTACTCTTCAAACCTCTACAGCACCGGATTGGATCCAAACATTTAGATTGTAAGGTAAAACACTATCACTGCCATGATTGATAGCATGAGCAGCATAAACACTTCATCTGAACTTAATCACAGTTAAAAGGCACAAATTGAAGTGACCCAAACCCTTAAACAACAATTCAATGCCCTACATTATCCCTCAAATCAGCCACAAACTCATGACCAGAAACTAAGGACATCCTAAAGCATAAAACCAAAAGAAAATCTAAAAAAGACCCACAAAACAAAAAAGTTATACCTTCCTCTGGTGCCAATTCTGAGGAGAGCAACCTTGGTCTTCTCTGGCTGCTGCTCCACAGCGACAGAGGCTCTTATGAGGCCAAACCCATGAAATTTCTTGGGGGCATTAGTGAAAGCCGGAGGTTTAAGGGAAAGTGAGGAGAACCCAGGAAGAGAAAGGGAGGCAAGATTACAAGGGCGAGCCATGGGAGAGTTGCTTACAGAAGGGGAAGATAAAGCAACCATTTGAGAAGACGAAGAAGAAGAAGAAGAAGAAGAAAGAAAAAGGAGATGGGTTAGCTTAGAAGGGATTGTTTTTGATGACACAACAGGCCAAATGTCTGCATTCGCGTTGGCAGATAGGATTCTCATCCATTTCCGTTCGATTTGCAAAACTTTTTTTACAAAATAAAATAAAAAAGGGATTTTTACGGTCCGGTTCAAGACGGTTTGATCTGTTCATACTCGGATTGGACTTACCATCAAGATTGGCTTTGCTTTTCCTTATTTTAAATGTAGTCATTTAAAATTATTTTTATTTAATTTAAAATCAACTCAAAATCATCTAAATAAAATAACTTTTCTCCGACAAACTGACCAAATGAGTAAGAAAATTATTAAGAATTTTTTTTAAAATAATTAAAAAGTTAATTTCAATATTTTTTGTATTTTGATTAATTAAATTTATTTATTTATTCTTTAATTTTATATATTACTTCTTCCTAATGTAGCTAATTCATGTATTAAAAAAAGGGTTATTTTATTTATTGTGTGTTTTTAAATAATTGATAAACTAAATTTATCATTTTAAAACTATTTTGTCCCTAAATATTTTTAAAATAAAAAAACAATGTTTTTTTTTCAAAAAATTTAAAAAATCTTTTGTCCCACTCAAATTTCTATATATATATTAAGTTCAAAAATATCAAATATTTACGAGTCATGTCATCACTATCATTGGTTATAAATGTTAAATATTTTTTTTAAAAGTATGGTAAGAGTTTGGTTGGATTGTAACTCTATTATATTTTCCAAAAATTCAATCAAATACTAGAATATAATATTTAACATAAATTCTAAAAATTCAAATAACAATATTACAATATAGTCTTCTATACAGACAGATATTTGGGTAAGAGTAGAGTCATTGACGAAATATAATATCGATCTTCAATCCTCACTTGTCCACTCGGGGGCGGATCTCCTCTCTATGGTCGGACTATTATTTTATTTTATTTTTTATATATATATATATATTTTTATGAATATGAGTAATTAAGACAACCAACTAAGATTCTTCTCCCAAAAACATTGCTATGTCCTAAAACTAAATCAAATTAAATCCGGGGGAAAAACGGTCAACCAAACGGGCAGGCTCGAACCCGCGCCGGTAAACGAAGACTATGAGGCTGCTCTCTCAGACATTTCGTAGCCAAAAACTCCCAATTTCAAGCCCAGAAGTTTCGAAATCTTCTTCTTCATCAACTAAGGTTCCAACATTGACCATCAAATCAGAGCCGGAGACGAAGAAATGGTGCGTTTATCTCATCATCTCCTCCAATCCCCCCATCAAAACCTATGTAGGGGTCACCCTCGACTTTGATCGACGGTATGTCGAATTTCTTCTCTTGCGTTTCTAGTTTGAGTCCAGATTCCATGATTTGGTGTTAAAAAATTTTCTAAGTCGTGTTCGATTAGCCTTCAAAAGTGATATTTCGAGCTTTTAGGTTAAAAATTTGGCTTGATATTGTTGAATAATCTGACTAGATCGTTAACAGAAATTAAACAAAGAGACACAAAGATTTTCGTATTTCATGCATGGACGGTAACCAATCACAATAATTAAAGTGTTTACAAAGAGTATATCTCACGCTCTCACTTTACAAAGTCTCGCCACTAGATAAATACAAAATGATACTCAATATCAATGCCTCTTGACCATCCTAGAAGATCATTTATAAAGCATATAAACATTGATGTTATACATGAATCAAGAATATGAGAGAATAACCATATGAATTCCGGTAGGTGTATGCATAGGAGAAGGGTATGTACCAAAAATGTTCGTGAATCCGATTCTGTGTCAATTTACAACCGTAACTAGGTGAATAAGTGCAATTTCTTTGAAAAATATGCTCGAATTGTGTCGCTTGTTATGAATATAACTTTGTATTGAGTCAATTTGGTGCATAAAGATGAGGTTGGTCTTTGAAAAAGAACTTGGGTTTAGGTGCTGAACTGCTTGATTAATCAGTTGAGGTATTGACTTTCTTTTGAGCTTGTACGATAGGGAGTGTTTTGGGATCATGCCCACACTGTTATGAGATATGCTTCAAATTTGCACTTTGCAGCTTTTACATGTCCTTTATGCATAAGAGGTATTCAAATATTTCTTAATGTCACAAAGTTGTATTCTTGTACAGTTTAAAACAACATAATGGTGAAATAAAAGGTGGTGCAAAGGCAACTCGAGCGGGGCGACCCTGGATTTGTGCGTGCAAAATTCATGGTTTTAAAAACCAAAGTCAAGGTATCCATTTAAAATAGAATTTCTAGGGCATTGCCTGCCGATTTGTGATTGTAGTCATTCTAGACATTATGTTGCTTAGGGCTCTTGAAAAGGTGAGATATTTCCTAGTTTCTTTGTTGTGGCAGTGATCTTCCCCTAATTTAGATGTAACAGTCCAAGCCCACCGCTAACAAATATTGTTCTCTTTGGGCTTTCCTTTTCGGACCAGAACCTTAACCCGACGCCTTTGACCAACTCGGCCATTTAATGGTATTAGAGCCAGACATCAGGCAGTGTGCCAGCGCAGACGTTAGGTCCCCAAGGGGGTAGATTGTGAGATCCCACATCAGTTGGAGAGGGGAACAAAACATTATTTATAAGGGTATGAAACATTCTCCCTAGCAAACGCGTTTTAAAACTATGAGGCTGGCGACGATATATAACAGGTCAAGCGGACAATATCTGCTAGTGGTGGACTTGGGCTGTTATATTAGACGTCAATGGTTAGATGTATTTCAGATTTTCTCGTATTGTGAGTACTATTTCCGTGAAAAACAATCTTTATTCATTGCTCCACGCTGATATTTATTATAAGATGCATTTTAATCATCATGGAGTGACTTAGTTGTCAACAAAGACCATGTAAATAATGAAGAACTTGGAGAGAACTAGTTCAAATTATGGTGCCGATCTATGTAGAATATTGTACAAGTTACCTCGGCATCCAAATGTCGTAGGGTGAGATTGTTGTCCTGTGAGAATAGCTGAGGTGTGCATAAGTTGTGCTAGTCTGGTAATCGCCTGCTCCCAAATTATATGCATGTTAGGACTCATACCTTCCAAATGGGGCCTTCCATCTGTAGTGTATTTTGATTTGATTTTCCCCCCTGGAAATGAAACAAGCTGCAACTTATGGCATTTCTGATTTAAATAGCAGCTTGAAAGCCCCCTTGTTTTTTAGTTTTTTATTTGTTTATCAAACTGATAAAGGAAAGAAGGCGGGTCCTTATGGCCAATTAGGCAAACTATGCCAATGCACTCGTCAGCCGGTGTGGTGGCGAACACAATGTGTAGGTGGCCTTCTCCTAGACTGATCAAGAACATAGATTCACGGTAGCTCACTGGTTGAAGTAGTCTCAATGACAGTTGGAGGTTGCTGGGTGAGACCAAGAGAAAGAAAGAACGGGAGGCAAGGGGCATCAGTAATGGCCCCACGCGTAGGCGTCTCGACTTGTTGCTATGAATATTCTTCAAGTTCATATCTCAAGAGCCTGTTTTGATCGACTTTTCAAGAGCTTAAAAATATGATTGGTTTCTCTCAAAACACATCATTCTAAACATGTTGTGAAGTTCTATTTGGACCACCAACCCGATAATCAAATTTGTCTAGAGCTTTTGAACCGAGAAATGTTGGATAAAATCATTCCCACACCTTTACTGATGCTGTTTTTGTATACTTTGGTTTGCAGCTTGTGAGTTTGAATCAAAATGGAAAGAAATTTGCAGGAAAATGTCCCATATGAGAAAGGAAGAAGTAGATGATCAGACATTAAGATTGCTGAAGCAAAGACAGAGAGCTCTGGGAAAAGTGAAAGGTCTGTTTGATTGCACTCAATTTGAGTTTGATTGGGAACTCGATCCTTTCTGATTCTTTTACAATATTTATCAAAGTTGTTTATTAGATAAAATGCTAAATTTAAAAAATAAAAAAAAAACTCCTAAATTTTCGTAAGTTTCAATTGTACCAAACTTTCAAAATACTCTGAAAAAAACACTCTTAAAACTTTCAAAAAAATGTTTAATAGTATCCTTGAACTTTTTAAAAAATAAAAAATATATTTACCGTTTCAAACTTACTCATGCATGGTTTAAAGTAACATTAAAATATTTGTAGTAATATATGAAGTATTTATAAACGATTTTTATAAGATTTTTTTTTAAAAAAGAAGTTAAAATATATTAGTGCTAATTTTAAAATTGTATAGGTATTTTTTAAACATAGTATTAATGATATTTGATTTTTTTTTTTAATTGTATTAATGTAACTTAAAATTTTTAAGGGTATTTTTCAAAGAGTTTAAAGGTATTTTTTAAATAAATTACCAACCATTTTATCTAAAACTAATCGGTATTTTTAATTTTTTTTTTTAATCAGGAATATTTTTTGGATGAAAAACAAATTTTAAAGATATTTTTATTAATTTAAGCAACTAAAAGTAAATAAAATGTTATGAATGGAACCAAATATATATTTTTAAATAAAAATAAAAAAATAAATAATTGCCATTTTTTAAGTTTTATAATTATTAAATAAAAAAATTAAACTTAAATTTACAATTTATAACCAAATTTGTAAATTAACCGCTTACAATAAAAACTCTGATCCACTCGGCAATCATACTCTTTACACGCGCTCAAAGCCGCGTACCCTGCAAACATTCTAACGTCCAATATAAACCTCAAAAGCTGCGGGAAAAACAGCAAAAAACTTGTCGCCATCACGAACCCAATCATTAACGACGACGGTACAACCGGCGGCGCCTGGAACTTCCCGCCCACCGCTGACTTTAACACCATCTCCGAAACTTTCAATTCTAATAATTAAAAAGTCTTTAAAATAAATAATAAAACATATGATGAAGCATCCTCACACTCTCATATGATGAACCTTCCTTTCTTATGTTATATATGTGTTTTTTTAATATTTTATGGATTTATCTGTTGCCCTCATCCTCGTTGGAGTAGCAGAGTTGTGTTGTTGTTGGGCTCCATCCTGTAATAACTCAAACCCACCGTTAGTAGATATTGTCCGTTTTGGCTCGTTACGTATCACCGTCAACCTCACAATTTTAAAACATAAGAAAGGTTTCTAAACCCGAAATATTTCGTTTCACTCTCCAACAAATGTGGAGCTAATTACAAAAAATATCTTACTTATATAAATAAAAACATTATTGAATTTTTTTAAAAAATAAAAAAATGGAGCAGGAACACTTATGTTTAAAATGAATAGTATTATGTTAGAAACGTCGTGATAAATAAATAAATAATAAACCTAATATAATTTTATAAATAAAATACTAAAATTCTCGAAAAGCAAAAAGGGTTACCTTTTAAATTCCTTTCTTAAAAAAAAGTTGAATGATGCCAATTCAACCTATTCCTCGTGAATCACGATGATATAAATCGATTTCATTAATATTTTTATATATATATATATATTATAAATCACGATGATAGAAAGAGATTCCATTATTATTCTTTTATATTTCTTTTATATAATATAAATATTATATTACAAAGTATTATAATTTATAAGAATGAGACATTGAATAATTAATGAAACTTATCCATTATTTTTTAAAATTTAAAACATAAATTGAATTAAAAAAAAAAAAAAAGGAATTATACATAAATTTAAAGAATTTAATAAGGTTGGTAAAGTGAAAGATTTATTTGACTTGAAATGAAATGAACAACGGTCCGATTAACTCGGCCGTCACATTCTTCACAAACGCGCCCAAAGCCGCGTACTCTTCAAGCATTCTGACATCCGCTTTAAACCTCAAAAGCTGCGGGAAAAAAAGCCAAAAACTCGTCGCCATCACGAACCCCATCGTTAACACCCCAGATACAACCCGCGGCGCCCGGAACCTCCTACCCACCGCTGACTTCACCGCCATCTCCGCCGCCAGACAAACTCCATGTATCAGAAAGAACCAACTCACCTCCCAAGTCGGCGCCAGTCTTCCCATGTAGAAGTAAATCAGTTCGTGCATAACACCGGAGACAGCAAATGTTGCCATAACCGCTATAATCACCGCCGGTTTCTTCCCGACGACAGTGCCGGCGAGTTTCCGGCACGGATCGAAAACCGCGGGGCGGAGGATTCTGGAGGAAACTAGATTCCATCGTCGCCCCCAAAAGTCCTGTAACGAATCAGAGAGATAGGGCTCGTCGAAAAAGGGCAATAACTCAACTCCGAGCACCGCCTCCGCCACAGCGGTGGCTCCGCCGATGAGAATTTCGAGGAGGAGGTAAATTAGGAGGCAGAAGAAAATTAGAACCACATTTGGGTAGAAGCGATTTTTGAAATAGATCGCGGCGAATGTGAGGATTAGGAACCCTAATTTTGCGGCGAAGCTCAGAGGGAGAAGCGGATCGGGATCGGAGCGGTTGGGTGGAGGTTTGTGTTCGGGGATGTCGATTGGGAGGGAGGCGACGGCGAGGAAGCGGCGGAGGGAGGAGGAGGTGGCGGCGGAACAGAGAGGGCCTTTGCCAAAGGCAAAGAGGAGGAGCTTGAAGCTGCCGAGCCAGCCGATGAAGAAGCCGAGGGTGCCGCGGAGATGGATGGTTTGGAATTGGAGAGGAATGTAGAGGAAGAGGAAGAAGAAGGGAAGAACGAAGATGAATTTGAGGAACCCATTTGGGATTGAGTTTCTAATTGAGAAACAGAGGCAGAGAGAAGAGGAAATCAGGAACAGAGTTTGAATGAATGCATGAATCTCGGCAGCCATTAATGGCGGAACAGAGCTCAAAATGGAGGTGAAAGGTACGAGGTTGTTTTGTTTCTTGTTCTTGTTCTTGTTTTCGATTTGAAAGGATTTTGTAGGAAATAAAATGGGGTTTCGTGGGATCAAGGAAGTGATCCCAAAAAAATATATTATAGGAAATGAAGAAGATATGAATTTCGAATCAAGATTGAGCTTAGTTGTTGATATTGTAATCGGGTCAACACTAAACCACATGGCAATTTTGAGGGAAAAAATGACTGGTAAAACATGTAGAAATTGCGTAGTGATGTGATGTTTGTCGTATCGACTCTGATATTTAAGTTAGATTAGACACTTTTATAATGTAATTGAGATTAGAGTAATCTCACGAGACCGTGTATAAAAAGGTTCAAAATCCTAATACCACCTTATTATAATTCAAAAGGGAAGGTTTGATAAAGGGGTGTATGTATTTTCGGTTGAGTTCATTAATGTAATGAAACTCAATCATGTGAAAAACGGGCCTTAGAATGTAATCTTTATTTATATCATGTAATCTTTCAGAAGCTAGCATCGCTAGTTGACTCCTCCTTGTTGAGAGCCAATCAGTAATTGTTGGACGGGACTTCCTTGTCTTCATCTTAGCTGCCTTATCATATCTTACCCTTTTCCTTACTTTAGGGCTTGCTTTCTTGCATTCGACCTTTAGACAATATGCTCTATTTGTTGTCTGTCTAAAGAAAGGGAAGAACACGACGAAAAAGAATAAAGAGGGAATTGAGCTTCTCTCGATCCATACAAATAATGGGTAGCATAAGTCGTTTCTAGTCAAGAAAAGAGAGCGATTCTCGAGAAACGATGCAGTACTTGTCTCACATACTCAGATGCTTAAGTGGGAAAGTGAAAAGTGCAAAAAAAAAAAAAAAAAAAAACC